GTTGTCCCAGCCAGTGACATATGGTGCGTTTAGCCACCATGGTCCATAAGACTTCTTGCCATGGTGTTCAGAGCACTGCACCCTGCCCCGAGCTGGGAGCAAGGACCAAAAACATCTTCCCTGTGGCAGGTAGGCAGGGAGGTGTGGGAAGCCCCCCTGCCCATGCCACTCCTTGCAGAAGCAGAGGTGGGACAGGTATCACCCTGATGCTCTCCCAGTGGTGCTGAAGCTGTGGTGCACACCAAGATGAGAGGTCTGTCGGGCAGCAGTGGGTGGGTGCTGCTTTAGGGCTCTGGGGAAAGCTCCAGCTGATGTCTGCCTCTAGGGGGGCAAACAAGTAAGCTTTCTAGTAGGATAAACCTCGTTATGGCCTATATGGGAGGCATCCCAGTGGGCTGTGATGGAATGAAGAGATCTTTTAAGACCTCAGAGAGTTGGAACATTTATTCAGTAAGGCTGGCAGGACAAGTTCTTTCCCAGCAATGCGGAACCCAGATTAATGCTAAAGGCATTTCTGGGCTCTTCAGCGCCGTGGTCTGAGAGCTCTTACTTCCACCCCCCCACACACCCTCCTAAAACACAAGATAGCTTAAACATAAGGTCGTTGTAATGACTGGGTAGTAAGTTAGAAGTAAAACTATCCTCATTGTTAGGATTCTGCCTTTTAGCATTATTTTGTAAGATACAATATTTAATTGCAGGGTTAGGATTGATACGCAGGGGACAATCATTAAATGGAGTTAATATGACAGATCCTGTTCTACATAAGAGGAAAAGTGTAATAAAAACAAAAGACAGAATTACCAAAGGCACGTTTATGTTAAAATTGTGTAATAATTTTGCTGCTTTCTGAAATAATACCTTTAACTCAATATCTTCCAAATACTTCACAGATACTAATGCATTTGTATTTCCAGTGCACTGTGGGGCTATGTGATGTAAAATCATGTTTTCCATTTTACAGCTAAGAAAACTGAGGTACAGGGATGTTGCAGGTTGAGTAAGATGACACAGAAAGTTTGAAGGAACCAAAAATAAAGAAGTCACCTTTAGTTTTGTAACTTTTAACCACAGTATGACTTTTTTTTTTTGTTGTTGTTTACCTGTTTCCTGTTTGCTTTCCTGTCTCCTTCTCTACT